GGCCTCCTGTTTCCACCACCTAGTTTCATAACATTGCATTTACTCGGGTTGAACTTTAGTACCCATTTGTTGCACAATTCATTCAGTCTGTCTAGGTCATTTTGTAGCCTCCTACTATCATCCTCTGTTTTAATCCTCCTCATAATTTTTTCATCAGCAAAAAATTAGAGGAAAGATTCTATACCCTCTGGGAGATCATTTACATATATTAGAAACAGTATAGGTCCAAGGACTGACCCATACGGGACTCCTCTGGTGACGTCTCGCCTGTGTATGTGTACTCACCTATTTGTGCTTGCAGGATTAAGCATTGACACTTGGATCCCGCCTTTCCAGCCATCGGTTGTTGACAGCAATGACTCCTGTCCCATTTCCCTATCATATCTAGTTTTAAAATTATGAATAGAGTTTGCTTCCACAACCTGTTCCTTAAATGCATTACATTTTTCCACTACCCGCACGCTAAAAGAATACTTCCTAACATCTTTGTGACTCATGTGAGTTTCCAGCTTCCACCCATGTCCCCTCGTTCTGCTACTATTAACATCTGCGTGTGAACATTTCATCTATCTCCACTTTGTCAATTCCCCTGATTATTTTATATGTTCCTGTCATATCCCCTCTCTCCCTTCTTTTTTCTAGTGTCGTAAGGTTCAGTTCTTCCAGGCTCTCTTCATAGCCCATCCCTCGTAACTCTGGGAAAATCCTTGTCGCAAACTTCTGAACCTTTTCCAGTTTCCTTATGTGTTTCTTCAGGTGGAGACTCCATGATGGCGCGGCATACTCTAAGACTGGTCGCACATAGGCAGTATAAAGCGCCCTAAAAGCCTCCTCAGTTAGATTTCTGAATGAAGCTCTCACTTTCGCCAGTGTAGAGTACGCTGCTGCTGTCAATATCCTATTTAAATGCGCCTCAGGAGTTAGGTTAGGTGTTACGTCCATTCCCAGGTATCTTTCTCGAACCGTTACAGGTAGACAGTTCCCTTTCATTGTGTACTGTCTCTTTGGCCGCCTATAACCTGATCCCATTTCCATAACTTTACATTTACTCGTGTTGAACTCCTGTAGCCATTTCTCTGACAATCTCTGCAACCTGTCCAGGTCCTCTTGGAGAACCCTACAATCCTCATCCGTCCCAACTCTTCTCATTAATTTTGCGTCATCTGCGAACATTGACATGTAGGATTCCACTCCTGTAAACATATCATTTACGTAAATAAGAAAGAGGATTGGTCCGAGAACCGATCCTTGAGGTACTCCACTCGTTATTGTTCGCCAGTCCGACTTCTCGCCCCTTACCATTACTCTCTGGCTCCTTCCTGTTAGGTAATTCCTCACCCATGATAGGGCCTTTCCGCTTACTACTGCCTACCTCTCAAGTATGCATAGCAGTCTCATGTTCGGTACTGTATCAAAGGCCTTCTGGCAGTCTAGAAATATGCAGTCCGTCCAGCCTTCTCTGTCCTGCCTTATCCTTGTCATTTTATCATAGAATTCCTAAAGGTTTGTTAGGCATGATTTCCTTGTCCAGAACCCATGTTGGCGTTTGTTTACAAAACCATTGCTCTCCAGGTGTGCAACATGTCTTAGCCTAATTATTCTTTCAAGTATTTTGCAGGGGATGCTTGTCAGTACTCACCTAATTGTGCTTGCGGGTGTTGAGCACTGGTTCTTTGGTCCCGCTTCTCAACCGTCAATCAACTGATGTCCAGATTCCTTAGCCTACTGGGCTCTCTCATATCTACATTTGAAACTGTGTATGGAGTCAGCCTCCACCACATCACTTCCTAATGCATTCCATTTACTAACTACTCTGACACTGGAAAAGTTCTTTCTAATGTCTCTGTAGCTCATTTGGGTACTCAGCTTCCACATGTGTCCCGTTGTGCGTGTGCCACCCGTGTTAAATAATCCTTCCTTGTCCACCCTGTCAATTCCCCTGAAAATTTTGTATGTGGTGATCGTGTCTCCCCCTAGCTCTTCTGTCTTCCAGTGACGTGAGGTGCAGTTCACGTAGTCTGTCCTAATAACTCATGCCTCTTAGTTCTGTGACTAGCCTAGTGGCATACCTCTGAACTTTTTCCAGCTTCGTCTTGTGCTTGACTAGATACGAGCTCCATGCCGGGGCTGCGTACTCCAGGATTGGCCTTACATGTGTGGTATACAAGGTTCTGAAGGATTTCTTACACAGGTTTCTGAAACCAGTTCTGATGTTAGCCAGCCTCACATAGGCCGCTGATGTTATTCTTTTGATGTGGGCTTCGAGAGACCGGATGTGGGCTTCGAGAGACCGGTTTGGCGTGATATCAACTCCCAGATCTTTCTCTGTCCGTTTCGTGAAGGACTTCATCTCCCATTCGGTATCCAATGATTTGCTTCCTAGTTCCTACTCCTAGTTTCATTACCTTACATTTACTTGGGTTGAACTTTAATAGCTATTTGTCAGACCATTCCTTCAGTTTTTCTAAGTCATCTTGTAGCCTCATACTATCCTCCTCTGTTCTGATCCTCCTCATAAGTTTTGCATCATCAGCAACATCGAGATACACGAGTCAATTCCTTCAGGGGAGATTATTTACGTATATCAGAAACAGTATAGGTCCAAGGATTGATCCCTGTGGGACTCCACTGGTGACTCCCCGCTACTCCGAGACCTCACCCCGCCGGTGACTCGCTGTGTCCTTTGCTTAGGTACTCTCTTATACAGTGGAGTACCTTCCCTTTCACTCCTGCCTGCATCTCTAGTTTGTGCACTAGTCTCTTATGTGGTACTGTGTCAAAAGCTTTCTAGCAGTCCAGAAATATGCAGTCTGCCCAACCCTCTCTCTCTCTCTTGCCTGAATTTTGTTGCCTGGTCATAGAACTCAATTAATCCTGTTAGGCATGATATGCCATTTCTGAACCCATCCTGATGTTGTGTTAGAAAGTTATTTTGCTTCAGATGTTCCTCTAGCTTTTTTCGCACAATCTTTTCCATCATCTTGCATGGAATGCAAGTTTGGGACACTGGCCTGTAGTTCAGTGCCTCCTGCCTATCACCCTTCTTGTATATTGGGACTTCATTGGCCGTCTTCGATATTTTTGGCAGTTCACCCTGTTACCAGTGACATGTTGTACACCATGGAGAGTGGTAGGCACAGAGCTTGCGCTCCTTCCTTTAGAATCCATGGTGATATTCCATCCGGGCCTATAGCCTTTGTCACGTCCAAATCTCGCAGATGCTTCCTCACCTCCCCACTGGTAATCACAAACCTCTGGGACTTCTCCTTGCTCTGAGGAGAAGATTTCCAGGAATTTCTTATTGAGTTTCTCGTACACTTCCTTGTCGTTTGTAGTGAATCTTTCTGCCCCTATCCTCAGTTTCATTACCAGTTCCTTCACTGATTTCTTTCCTCCTGATGTGGCTATGCAGCAGTTTGGGTTGAGTCTTTGCCTTGCTCGCTATGATATTTTCATATTGCCTCTCTACCTCTCTTCTCACCCTGACGTATTCATTCCTGGCGCTCTGGTATCTTTCTTTGCTCTCTAGTGTTCTGTTATTTCTATAGTTTCTCCACGCCCGTTTACTTAGCTGCTTTGCTAGCTTGCAACTCTGATTAAACAATGGATTTCTCATCTCGATTTAATTTTTGTCAACTGTGTTGTCAACTGTTTCATTACCTCCTCTGCTGTCACTCCTATATATGATAGTCTTCCGTCTAGGGTAATCTCTTCTAACAATGGGAGCTGCTCATGCTCTGTTGTGAACACTCCATGGAAACTTGCATTCAGTACCTCGCATATTTCCTCGTCACTTTCTGTATATGCCCCCGTGTGTTTTCCTCAGTCTTCCCACTTGGTCATCTACTGACATCTTCCTTCTTATATGGCTATCTAGTAGTTTAGGTTGTTTTTTCGCCTTGATTGCAATATCATTCTCGTAATTTCTTTCCGATACTCGTCGTATGTTAATGTTATAGTTCCTAGCTCTGTTAAATCTAATCCTGTTGTCCTCTGTCCTTTGTCTTCTGTACTTCCTTCACTCCCTCCTGCTTCTCATTTTTGCTTCCTGACACTGTCTATTAAACCATGGGTTATTATATTCCCTCCTGCTTTACCTTTACTGTTGGAATAAATCACTCTTCAGCCTCCTTGCATTTCCATATGACTTGGTTCATCATATCTTGCACTGTTTTTCCTCTAATTTCCTCCTCCCACTGCACTTCTCCCAGGTAGTCCCTTATCCTTCTGTAATCCCCTTTCCTGTAATCAACTCTCCTTTCCCGCATCTCCCGTCCTTTAGACACAACTTTGAGTTCCATCATGAAGTCAAAGACTAGGACACAATGGTCACTGGCTCCTAGTGGTATTTCATGTTCCAAAATCTTGATGCCTTCTACATTCTGGGTGAAAAATATGTCTAATAGGCTCTGTGAATCCATTTCTCTTTCCTTTGTATCTTCCTTCACATGCTGTGTTAGGAAATTCCTGTCAATAACGTCTACTAACTTCGCTCCCCACGTTTCCTCCCCGCCATAGGGATTCCTTGTTTCCCAATTTATCTCTCCATGATTTAGGTCCCCCATGACCAGTAATTTCGCTCTCATTCTATGCACTATTGTTTCAGCCCTCTGCAGTTCATCCACACATGCCTTGTGTCTGTCCTCATACTCCTGCCTGGGTCTTCAACTTTTTGGTGGAGGATTGTAGAGTATGAAGATCACAATCTTCTTAACATCCGCTGCCAGAATTCCATGTATAAAGCTTATGCTTTAATTGGTACCCGGAATTTCCAGGTCATCAAACTTCCATTTCCGCTCTATTAGGAGTTCCACTCCCCCTTAGTAGTGTAAAGTGTGACTAGACCCGTGCGTGCCACCTGGGCAGGTGAGCCAACTAGGCTCACCTGCTCAGTGCTCAGTGTGGCTCACTGAAATGAGCCACACTTCACTTCAGTCGCTTAGTGTAGCATTACACAGTTACAGTCACTCCCTCAGTTACTCTTTAAGTACAGTGTAACCATGTCTCCCCTGGATATGATTTTCCTAACCATCCTTCTTGAATTATTAACGTCAGAAGGACACAGTGATATAGTATCAAGAGCAAGGAAAATTGCTGAAGACGACCCAACCCTAAACGAAGCACCGTGGAAACTTGTAGGCAACGGAAAGGCAAACAAACGAAGAAGAACCGAAGAAACGTCCAAAGAAACCGAACTAGAAGCAAACCAGAACTCAAGAGCAGCACCCAAACCAATGCCAAGGACCATATTCAAGACCAAAAAACCAGTGGATCGTCCCACTTATGCTTTCATTGCCGCACTGGAAAAGAATAATCCAGGATCAGATCTTAGAGCCAAGCCCGACATTAAAGGTAGATATAACATATCCACAGCTAATCCGGATATAATCACAAACCTCAGGAACACAGAACACCTAGTGGAACTGAAACCAGAAGAAAAAATCACCAACATGATAGTTCAAAATTTCCCGGTCGAAGTTCACGCAAACAGACTCCTAGAATGCCCAAATGTCACAACGGCGGAAAGATGCAAGCACAACAATATCGAAACAAGACAGGTTCTTGTAACAATAAAAGGACCTCGTATCAACACTCTGAGTGTTGGCATCTATGGTCAATTCAGGCTGAGACTGTACAGCCCAGAACCCATGCGCTGTTACAGATGTCAGCGCTTCGGCCACCACAAAGATGGCTGCAGAGGCCCGGAACGATGTGCTGTGTTCGCGTTAAGGAGGTGTCATATGTCGCACCGTCCCTTCACTTCGCCTTACCCCTCCCCCATGCAGGTGACAGTTACCAATTACTCGACAATCCCCCACTTCACATTTCCTCAGTCTGCCATAAATGAGGTAAAAAAATAGTTAGGGAGAGTAAATACATTATATATGTCTCTGTTTTCACATCAGATAATGCCTATAGTCCATGGTAGAGATCTTTTAATTTCACTTGGATTCTGAGTAAGGACCCTCATCGTGTTAAATCATCGACCCCTCAAATCAAATCACCTGCTGACATCTTAATAGGATTTAGCATCAGTCAGTAAAAGCAGTCACTCAGGTACAAGTCAGTAGGCGTTTTTACTGGTGAGTGTTTTCCACTACTAAAGAATATATATGTAATTTAGATCAAACCCAGGAGCTTCACCAGGGCATACCACCACCACACATAGGTATGAGGTCTCCCATGTCACGCGCCCCTGGGCGGCTCACCTCTGTAAAGTTTGACACAAAACTGGGGCTAAATGAGGCGATACCGCCCACCATACCCTCTCCCGACCGCTCCCTCCCCTCACACTTAGCAGTCACTTGACACCCATAAGTTAACAGCTAACATGCATTTCTCGCTATACAGAATAATAAATAATAAATAAATAATTAGGAGAAGTAAACCCATTTATATATAATTTTTATTCTTTTTTTATTATTAAACACTTAAGCAGCACCACGTGTCTCTATTCTTATCAAATAAAGTCTATATCCTGAGGTATAAATCTTTTAATTTCGCTTTTGACTCTGAGTAACGAGCCTCATCGTATACCAGTCTTCAATTTTCTTCAATCAAATGAAATCAAATCTCTGCCAGTAAAAACAGTCACTCAGGTAAAGTCAGTGGAGTTTTTTACTGAATGTGGGAAAGACATCTTCTGGAGGCAGCAGCACTAGGAGACTTGCAGGTAGGTGTTTTTCCACTACTGAATGAATATATGTTATTATTTTAGATCAAACCCAGGTGCATCGCCATTACACACATCTGGGGTGTGGGTTTGAGGTGTACTGAGATGGGCGAGGTATTGGGGATGATCATATCCTCACCCCCATCCAACCCCCCTCCCACACCCCTTCCCAGCCCATTCCATCAAGCATCACTTCACCCTTCCCAGACCGGATGTTCTGTGCAAAGCCATTAGTATTATTCGTGATCATATATAGAGTAGTGACCCAGTTCACAAACACACAGATGTCATCCCATTCCACACGTCCTCACCAGAGGATGGAAGACTAATGTCAATTTTCGGCACCCCATCACTCTTACCCCTTGTAGCCTTGTAACGTAACGTGACCAACATAGTAACATAATTCTTTGCCCAAATAACATTTTAAGACTAATGAGTGTCGTAAGGTGGTCTTCAATCTTATTATTATAACAAATCACAATCAATGTTTCAATCATAATCAAAATGTGTTTCACACTTTGTAACGTAACGTGAGCAATATGCAACTATGTGTTTTACGCCTCGTAGAGTAATGTGACCAACGTGCACCTTACCTTGAGGTTACCTTGAGGTGCTTCCGGGGCTTAGCGTTCCTGCGGCCCGGTCGTCGACCAGGCCTCCTGGTTGCTGGACTGATCAACCAGGATGTTGGACGCGGTTGCTCGCAGCCTGACGTATGAGTCACAGCCTGGTTGATCAGCAATCATCATTCTTTCCCCAAATAACTTATTTTAACAAGCCTCTAACTTTAACTTATCTAACAAGCCTCATAACCCAATATTCAATCTTATTCTTGATATAAATATTACTGTGTCTCTGTTTTAGTCCTTGTAACACACAATATAACATAACATGGAAATCAGTCTTTCTGTTGATTTCTGTATTTAATGGTGTCCCCGGAACCCAGCATGAGGACTCCCCGTCTGCTACCAGGGCACAGGACAACCTCCTCTGGATCGGAACTCGAATGGTCCCCAAGATTCCTGTCGTCGTACAGGTACAGACTTTTAATTGTGCATCCAACACACATTCAATTTTTATAATCATTTATTCGCTGGAGTTAAACCAGTATGGGAGCCACCATTGAGGAGGCATCAGTATGTAAATATATGTAATTAATGTCTTCAACAAATTAACACATGAAAAATGTAATGATTTACACTGAGAGGTGTACCCCATCTCGGTATATATGTCGTTCCTAATAGCCAGAGTTGCCTAACAAGCCAAATTTCCGTGAAATATTAAATTAAAAAAATAATCTTAAAATTGTTTTTATTGTATTATATATGATTACGATTTTATTTTAGAGTCAATACTAACAGAAATTTCAGCAAACCTAACGTACCTATTCTATGGAAACCTGTCCTAACCTAAGTCAGCAAATTATGTTCCTAATGGATTATTATTGTTAGGAAAGAACCAATCTGGAAAGAAATTTTTGAAATCTCAAATTCTTTCTGCCTGTTAGGCAAATCAGACCTTCCATACTAGGCCAAGTAGTGCGATTGTGGCTATTAGACACGACATATATAGACAGATGTACCCCACTTCTCTGTGCATACACACACACACACACCGAGCATTTTGCCCTGTACTATTTTCAGGACTAAATTAAAGTATTTTTTTACTGGTTGGTCAGTAAAGTATTGTGGCTGCCTAGGTTGATGGACTTGAAGCCCAACACCAAACCAAAATTCCATTGACCTGGGCTCTAGGAAACTTGAACCGTGGACCCCAAACGTGTGAAACCGAAGCTCTATCGACCGAGCTGTTGAGAGGTCTTAATAAAGAAAGTTTCCAGAAGCGGCATCCTACTGACTACTACTGAAGCTCAGTGAAGTTAGAGATCCACGCCCACTTTTTTTTTAATAAGAGTTCTTACATTCTAGTACAGCCACCAGCACGCATAGCCTTTCAGCTATGCATAGAACGCATAGTCTTTAATCCTATGTTCCCAGAATACGATCCCGCCAGAATCTTTTAACAACCAGGGTACCCATTTTACTGTTGGCTAACCAGAGGCTTCAGTTAAGGGTTGGCACCCCAACCCGTCCTCGACTCGAGTTCATTACATCCAGCGGTCGACCCACAGACGCAGTCAGAAATTTTAGTTAGGTGTTTAGGTTCTGTTGGCTATTATTTGTATTCGTAGTACGTGGGTGAAGCATTCACAGCGTTGTGGTTCGAACAAAATTCGTCAGTGAAGCACTTGTTCCGGAAGTGTTCGAACGAAATCAGTTGAGAGTCGTGTGTAAACAGTTTTTCATTCATAAACGGGGGGGTTTGGCGGGCGCATGGAATCTCTTTTGGGTCTTTGCTTGGAGGACGGCTGTGGCACCCAGTACATCCTCCCCGGCCAGGACAAAGCGTTCACGAAACGCGAGCGACTTACCACTACGCCACGGAGACTATTATACTATGATTATGTAGTCACGGATACAAGATTACCCATGTAAACAAATTCTAAATTTGATGCATACGCTATTGTGATTTCTGTGGGTAATTACTCATGTTTCCTGGATTGAAAATCATATTTATTCAAAACATGGATTTGTTAATAAATTGGGCCAGCTCGAGGCTGAACCCTTCTCCACTCCAAACCAGCCAGCTCGGACCTCCAGTCCGGGTTGGGAGTGGAGAAGGGTTCAGCCTCGAGCCGGCCCAATTTATTATTATTTCCAGGTTTTGAATATATATGGTTCTCATAAGGATAAACGCAAACAACCTGAAGAAATATATATATGCATATGATTAGATAATAAAGAAGAGAAAAACCGCATCGGAATCTTGTGAATGATCGAATCATCACTTTGAGTTAACATATGTTAGTGAAATAGTTTCCCAAAAATATCCATCAACATAGAAAATTAGCCTTCAAATGATCTATATCCCATTTATAATGAATCCTTTGAAATGGATAATTGTCTTGTCTCTAACAAATAGCACTGAAATGTGTAAATCACCTTTTTGAGAAAATGAGCCTCGAAACAGACCAACAAACTTTGTTTTACAAATTCTAAAACAGACATACAGTAATATTTATATGGTAGGAGATGAACACGAGTTGGTCTAAGACATACCTTACATTTTAAAAAGTTATTTTGGACTGCAGAAAGCCGATTTCAACGTTATGTTACCTTGTGTTACAAGGACTAAAAAAGACACAGTAATATTTATATGGTATGAGATGTAATGAAGATGGGTTAAGTCATACTTTACATTTTAAAAGCTATTTTTGGACAGCAGAAAGATGATTTCAATGTTACGTTACATTGTGTTACGAGGACTAAAACCGACACACAGTAATATTTATATGGTAAAAGATGTAATGGAAATGGACTAAGTCATACTTTACATTTTAAAAAGATATTTGTACAGCAGAAAGCTGATTTACACATTACGATATCTGGTGTTACAAGGACTAAAACCGACACACAGTAATATCTATTGGGTGAGAGATGTAATGGAGATGGTCTAAGACGTACTGTACATTTTAAAAGATACTTGGACATCAGAAAGATGAGAAAGATGATTTCCACGTTACTTTACATTGTGTTACATGGACTAAAACCGACACACAGTAATATTTATATGGAAAAAGATGTAATGGAGATGGACTAAGTCATACTTTGCATTTCAA